GAGGTGCAAACGCCTGGTTAGTACAAGCACGCACAAGGGGACCAGTGCGCCTGTTTTTGTAACCAGACCATTTTTTTGTGTAACCAGACTCCTAGGGGTCTGGCACAGACAACAAGTGTCATGTGTTTGGTAGTTCCACTTTTGGAGGACAGTGGCAGTTGGCAGAATGTGATTGCAACATTTGGTGACTAGGACATTCCTGGAGATGGCAATGCTCAGCGAGGACACATAATGGTCACTGGGTCTTATCTGCCAAGTATGCATGGTATCTAGTAGGAATCAAACAGGAGTCTGTGAGAACTCTCTTATATTGGCTGGTCACTGAGAAAGAGCAGATGTGAACAAGAACCCCTGGACATGATGGTAAGACTGGGGTGATGAAATTGGGCCTTGTAATCTGAGCTTGAAAGGCGCCAGCATAACTGCCAGCTTTGACATTCAGCTGGCTGCGCTGTTAGAGGATGCAACGAACATACGTATATGAATGTACGGATACAAGGAGCAAAGATACCATTTGTATCTAAGTATCATAGGGTACTACTCCTATCTATGTATCATACAATCCACTGTAGACCAAGAGGTCTAAGATATGAGGAGTGATGTTGTAGATCAAAAAGAACATTGGATCCAAAGAACAATGATGTCACGAGTCAAGAAAAGTAAGAACCCTAGGTAGATCTAGTCCTAGGGTCTACAAGGGAACTAATCAGGAGAACTGAAGAGTTCACAGGTAATAACACGGTGACACTTTAGATACAGGATATAACAAAGAAATAAAATAATTTCATTCTTACACACTTTAAAATACACAATATCTTGTACAGAGGAAGTTGGTCAAAATCAGTGGTGTCATCTTGGTGCCTTCTTTTACCCAAGAGAAGGATCAAGTGATGGATGGATTCTGAAGGGTATGAAAGATCTGTTGAATCAAGTCAAAATCTGGTGCCATAGTAGCATTTGCATATACCTTTGTGTATTCACACCTGGATTGGATTCTAGTGATGAGCGCCTTCCTGTCACTGATAAAAGTAACCTGTGTTGGGCAAGTTGTTGTGGTACCAGAAGATGAAGATGAACAGGATGTACCCGAATCAGAAGAGGTCAAAGATGAAAGATTGTGCTGAAGTTGCAAATCATTCAGGTTGCTGATTAAATTTTGAAAATTTTCCTCTGCATTCCCAACACTGGAATGAGTTAGATCTTTTCTGCAATTCTGGGAGGGCAGTGGGGATGGGCAAGGAAGATGGTTCTCATCAAGTGGAGAAGTTGAATGTGTTTCTGCATGATATCCATCAGAAAATAAGGTGTCCGTGTTGGACATGTTATTTTCTGAGGCCTTTGCACCATGTGCACTGGCTGGAGGCACTATCTTATATGGATCACCTTTCCCAGCATTCTTGGATCTCAGATCCAGATCTCCATTCATGTTCCTACTTGTTTGTTTCCCCACCAGTGGTTTTAGGAKCCTCATTGAATGGATTCTAAATGTGCTCATACATTGTTGCTCTGTCAGAGCAAAGCAAGAACATGGCCACAATCATCAAGGTCATTGGCTCATGTGCACAAGTGAGAAGTGGTAGCTAGTAGTCCAGTGCACAGTAGCCAATTCTAAAAATGCATATCATCTGTAATAAGTAGATGAACGCACTACTAGAACTAAATATCATCATCAGTAGTATTGATTTCGCATCCTTGGACGACTATTTGTACTAGTTGCTAGCTGGCACTATTTTTTATGAAGAAGTTGAGAGCATGCTAGTAGGTATCTAAAGTAAATAAAAATAGTGGTATTCGGATAGATCTTGGAGTTCATCTCTACAACTAAGAACACTTAAAACCTCCAAGAACACCTCTAGACTCGTTGCTCAACCAAAATTCCCAAAATTATGTTTTATGGCTTCGTCTGAGGTGTTGCTGTGGTACACTAGTATTCATGGTTGCATTTTTGCGGCATAGACACGTATTCTGTACAGCACGAATTGTATAGATRCCTTATATGCACCAGGTAATGTTCCATGAACTGATGAAGACCCCCTATTCTCACCAAAGCATCGTATCATTCCGTGGATAGGGTGTGTATAAAAGGGCTACCACTAGAATCATCCGGTGTGCAGGTGCAAGAAGAATGATTTCMATTTTTTTCAAATAATACATTTCTGCACGAAATCAAGGCCTGTTTGACTCCCAAAATTTGATTCTATCGCTCATTTTTCCCATCGACGCACTGGATCCGTTGAAAATGTCGGTGTTTGCTGGCTGACTATCGCTAATCGCAAAACGCACACGGTTTACGTTTTGTGACGACCCTGTTTTAGATCCTTGACGAAGTGTTGATCTGTCACGAAGAGACGAATCATTTATTTCGTTGTTCTCTCGCTGTAGTCGGCTAGAATCCCTGTTGGTGTCACCACCTATTGAATTTGACGTTTTCTCTGTTTTTCGATGCATAACTGGATTATTTTGCACTTCATTTTCCACTTGCTGTCGGCGGCTTGTATCCCGATTGGTGTTACCACCTATTGAACCTGACGTTTTCTCTATTTTTCGCTGCATGCCAGCACTCCCCATAGCATGGCGATGAAACCATGCATCGGTTGGCGCACCGATGGCGGGATGTGCATGCTTCGGTCCACCAACGCGTGTTTTTCCAGGTGTTTTGTACTTTTTCAAAAGTTTTTTCACAATCTTCAAATCTTCATCATAATGCGTAGAATCGATTGAGTCACTATTGATACACTTTGCCTTTTCTCGTTGAAGTACAATGTGAATTGCTTCAAGCCTCTCCAACTCGGTCAACTCCGATTTTGTTAGCATTGTTGATGAAATGCCTGCACTTTGGTTTCTTTTATCGGATTCTTTTTGATTTTCTACTTCCTCCTCGATTTTAGTTCCGTCGAATGGTATCTCATTAGTGTCGCGGTGCTGTTCACTTTTTGTTGTCGTCGCTGGCAATGCATCGTTTTTGGCCATCGAGGTTTTGTTTGGTTCATTAGCAGAGAGTTCATCATTAGTATTTATTGCAGAACCCATTTCGCTAGGTTTAGTTACCAAATTTTCATCTGCAGTCGTCTCTGATCCAGTTCTTTCTTCTGATTGCTTCAATGTTTGCTTCTCACTTTTTACTGAATTTTCAGCATCCGGATGATTTTTCTCAGTCTTTTTATCGCTGTGCCTTTCCTGATCTTTGAACTTGAAATCCCATTCACTTTTGAAGTACTTCTCAGATTTTTCAAGAGCGCTCACTTGTTTTGTTTGCTGTGAAGCAACCGTGCTACTTTCCTTCCATACATCATCCTGATCGGAGCTCACATTCGAATTGAATTGCCTATCTCCAACTCTACACTCTGCATTTTTTCGGTTCAATGAAAACATGTCGATTTTTTTCCACACATCCTGTTCTGAGGATTCTTTTGAATCGATCTCACTCCGGTGCGTAAAGGTAYCCTGTTTGCGGTCCGTCGAAGCGAATACATTTGTTCTCTCCCAGTGCTCATCTTCAAGAATGTAATGGTCTTCGTTCAACGGCGTCTGAGCCTGAGTTGGCAATGAATTCTTGACAGCATCGAGTTCTTTGCGAAATGATGACATTTCTTTTCTCATCACACGAACCTTGGATAAATGCTGTCCTTGTTTTTGGTTTATCCGTGTCGATTGAGGGTCATTCCATGTGACATCGACTTCGTCAGCTGAGGCATCAACACCAGATGGTTCGGCTGATTTCTCGAATTCGGAATTTTGGTCCATTTCCTTTCTTCCATTCATCGATCTCAGGTGTTTCGTTTTCAGGTCATTGATGAAATTTGGATCGAACTGCACAACGCTCTGAGAAAGTTCTGCGTCGTCAATACAAATAGATTCCTCTGGTCCTTCTCTGGCAGAGGAAAATGTGCCTTGATTGTTTCTATCGCGATCGTACGAAGAGATAGCACGCTCCAATGGCCGTAGCTTGAAATCGAGTTTGCTATCATCTCTTTGTTCTTTTAGAGTCGACGTACTCGCCCCTTCAATTTGACGTGGCATGCAATACTGCTGATTGGTAGGATCGTACAAATTTTGTTGCAATCTGCGATCGTTTAAAGTGGGAGACAAAGAGGATGACGTCGAAGTCAAGAAGGAGATCTGGTCCTTCTTTGACAGCGGTGACCCACACTTTCCCTTCTTCATGAACTTGAGAAAGATAGCGCCACCGCAGATTCTGGGACCCTCGTTGAACTCACGCTCATTGTAGGAGGAAACTTGCATTGTTTGATCACCTGCTTTTCTTATCGATTTGGTTATGCAAATATGTATCTGGACTGATAGTGTACGGAACAATAGTTGTTTTTACCGAAACAAAAATTACCGAAATACAGTAACGTTTGATGTTTCTGTTTTCTTCCATTAAAGTGACAAGAATCATCTCGGAGGGAGTTTTGTCGGAGGTAGCTTCGCTGAATTCTCTTTAGCGACGTAATTGACGGAAACGAGCGGAGGAGGCTTGCCATACGCGCGCAAGGCCGAATCAATAATTGATCAATCTTCGGTCACTCTTTGTATTAGTACGTATGGATAGTACACATTCAGCATACGTTGGTGTCAGCTGTGATTTTGAATTTTTTATGAGAATCGGTTTCTGAGAAAATCTTCGCATCCGAACCCGCGGTATCCATTACTGTAACTTACGTACACGCAGGGGTATAAATAAGTAGAGTTCTCGTACTATTTTAATTTTAACCATGCCGGAGCGAAGAATAGCTGATTGGTGATGGTGATTCCGTGATTCATGATGGTGCTACGATTGTTATCCGTATTGCACCACATCAGTCATCACAGGATTAGATACAATTCGATTCATTGCATTTTATTCCATCGCCATCGCCATGATGAAACGTTGCCTTCTTTCCCGCTCATTTCGTCGACATCGGCAGGGGTCTTTTGCGTCCAAAGGATTCGATCTCCTCCGCTTTCTGTCTTCTTCTGGACAACCGACGAGTGATCAGGAAGGTGGCGAAAAGGTGTTTATTAAGTACAGCAGCTCGGGTTTACCCGATTTCATCGAAGAATGGGATCGACATAAATTTCGAAAGGTCGGATACGGATTGGCAGCCATCACTGCCGCATCGGTTTGCAACACCGTAATGATATTTGAAGAACAGACAGTCTTCTTCACAGCAGGATTCGGGGCCCTAACTGCTTCCTATTGGATAATTGGTAAGCGTGACATGGAACAACGATCACAAACCATCCGTCGCAATTTTCCAGTTCTCGGCAATATGAGATACTTGCTCGAAATGATTCGTCCAGAAATCAGACAATACGTAAGTTCCATCATGACATAATGCCATTTCTGCTTATGATGATTGCCTTGTCTGCCACCAAAAAAAAACCAAACTTAAATAGAAATTCTTAGATTGCGTTCTATGATTGTCCATTGTTCTTGCATTTTTCGATCGTCGTTTTCACAGTTTGTAGAGGGAGACGACGAGAAAAGTGTGCCATTTGATCGAAATCACCGAGCCATTGCCTACGAACGAAGCAAGGGTGCTCCGGCTACCATTGCTTTTGGAACTCGCCGTGATACAGAAGCAATAGGATACGAATGGGTGAACCATTCACTGTATCCCACAAGTTTGAAGGACAAGGAGCAGCGAGTGTTGATAGGTGGCAACAATCCCGACTGCATTCAGCCGTACAGCTCGTCATTACTGAACATCAGTGCAATGTCTTTTGGCGCTCTATCAGATCGGGCTATCCTAGCATTGAGCTCGGGAGCCAAGCTTGGAGGCTTCTCGCACAATTCTGGTGAGGGAGGAATCTCGGAGCATCATAAGAAAGGCGGAGCGGATATTGTATGGAATATTGGTACAGCATACTTTGGCTGTGGGAAATTTTCTGAGAATGGCGTACGAATGTTTGATCCCGAGTTATTTGCCGAGAATTCCGAACACGCCAAAATGATTGAAATAAAATTATCTCAAGGTGCGAAACCCGCTCATGGTGGAATGCTCCCCAAGGAAAAAATCAGCCCCAGTATTGCGGAAGCACGCAATTTGAAATACCCTGTGGAGCAAGATTGTCATTCTCCGTCACGGCATAATGCTTTCAACAACTCTATTGAACTTTGTGAATTCATCAAAGAGCTCCGTGACTTATCGAACGGGAAACCAGTTGGAATTAAACTTTGTTTGGGCCAACCAACGGAATTTTGTGCTCTAGTAAAGGCGTTTTTGGAAACTGGAATACATCCCGATTTCATAACTTGTGATGGCGGCGAAGGTGGCACCGGTGCTGCTCCCCCAGAATTTTCCAACTCGGTAGGAACCCCACTGACCGAAGCATTGTCTTTTGTACATGCCGTATTGGTTGGAACGGGATTACGAGATCCAACCGAGAAGTCCAAATCAAAAATAGCCTTGATTGCCAGTGGAAAGGTGCTAACTGGTATGAGTATGTACAAGAATTTTGCTCTGGGTGCAGACGTCTGCAATGCTGCTAGATCATTTTTATTTTCTTTGGGATGCATTCAAGCTCTCAAATGCCAAGCCAACACATGTCCAACGGGAATCACCACGCAAGATCCAGAGTTGAGCTGGGGGTTGGTACGTCATAATTTCTTATACATACTGATGTTTTGTTTTCTTGCCTTGGATATGTTCTCTTACAAATGCTTTTTCAAACAATAGGATCMCTCTTTTAAGCAGGTCCGTGTAGCAAACTTTCACAAAGCAACCGTAGAAGCTTGTATTGAGTTGATGGAGGCAACTGGAATAGAATCGTGGAAAAAGATTCAGCCTATGCATGTCACACGCCGAGTAGCTCTAGGAAAATCCAAGTCGTACGAAGAAATATGGGAACACCTAAAAGTTCCAAAAGGAGGCCTATTGGAAGGTATAGGGCCTGATTCTCTTTTACAAGTGTGGAAGAACTCTGATGTAGTAAGCCAGGCAGCTTCTATCTAAAAGGAGCGACATAAACAAAAAGGCCCGCAAGTTTGGTAAAGTTTCCATGTAATTTCAATTCTGCGAGAGATATTTATCCTCTATGGAACATTATGATAACATTTATCTTGCATATACATGTATGCAATACCATACAGGGGAATTCCATTTTTATTTGTCAAACAAAAATAGACATAAATGCTGTGCCACAGAGGATGATGATGAACTTTCCTCAGGCAAAATATTTTGTATAGAAGATGAATTTAACAATGTTGTTACACATGTTGTTGACTCTTCTGAGGATTTTCTCAATCCTGTCATTGAGCTCTTTTGTCTTCATATCAATCTTGACTTTTATCAGGTCATACTTCCTGTGTTCTTTATGGACTTATTCACCTTCAAACCACCAACATTGTTCCAAATTTTTTCTTTGACATATATGCAAACCTCTGTGTGGAAATTGCACTCTGCACATGAAAGCGTTTAATAGCATTGGGGATTTTGTTCTTGACTCGTGATCATGCTATATTTTTCAGGGTGTGTCAGCTGCAAAATAAAATGAAAACAACAGAATAGTAGGAACAGAAGTGAGAATGAGTAATGTCATCAGCATTTTGAAAGGAACTGACAACTAGGTTTTCATCAAATCAACTTTGCCCCCCCCCCCCCCACACACACACATACCACCCCTGCTCAGGAGGTACCTGGTATAGCACCATACAATCATTTCATGTTACAAAGTACTGTAGAAGAGTACTGGTATGGTTTTGTTTTCCTTGTACCTTGTCAAACCACCAAGAGCTGTAATCATGTCACAAATATGAAATACAGGAATGATGTGTGCTATGTCTAATGTAGTAAGTGTAAGAAATATGCTCATACAAAATTGGAGTACTATGAAGTAGTAAGGGAACAAGATCCTCCTACTAATAGTTTTACTAATAGGCTAGTACAGTGCACTGGATGACTACCACTATCTTTTACTACTAGTATGCACAGTAGCCACTGACCTTGAGGAATTTTTACTGCGGTGGACTTTGGGGGGGAACAAAAACAAACCTGTTTTTAGCGTAGAATCCATGTAAACCCCAGTATCCCATTTATAGCAAATAAATTAGTACCTTGGCAAAAAACAAATTATTCATTTTCAACTTCAACATTCAGTCATTATTGTGACAATCAGTCATTCCAATATTTAAGAGAACCAAATTACTCCCAAGACTAGTAAAAAATCAGTCATATTGGTAATTTGTCATTCCAAGATTTAAGAGAACAAAATTGCTCCCAAGACTCAAATAAATCAGTCACATTTTTGATTGGTCATTCCAAATTGTAAGAGAACAAACTAAATCCTCCCAAGACTCAAAAATCCAGTAAAGTTTGAGTCATAACTTTTCTTCCTTGTTTTGCCAATCTGCAGTTAAAGGTTTGAGGCCTTGACTACAATGGTTTGATCTGGCAATCTGACATTTATATTTTTCAAGTGTGCTGTGGTTTGAGAAACTTAGAAAATATGCCATCATCTATTTCAGCACACTTGTCTACATTCTTGCTGTGTGTTGCATAGTAAGCAGTATCTTCTGGGAGTTTGTCCAAAGATTTTACAATTCTTGAATTGGTGATTTGAACATGCTCTTCATTCAAGCCATTGGTCTTTCAATCACCAAGAAGCTCCTGCGGCTTTTGCATGATTGATCGCAGCGTGGTAGTATTTCCATGATTTGTAACCGATGTTGGCTCTGGAGATGTATGCATTGACATGGTTCAGCTTTCAGTATGTATAAAGATAAACAAGCTTGTGAGACTCATTCACTTCAATTCCCTTTCCTTCTGATGAATGTAAAGAGATGAGGATGAAACAGAGTTCACTGATCCTAAATTGCAGGCTCCAGTGCTTTGGAATGAACAATGCACTTGTCGGTAGGCTTTGGTTCCTTTGTCAGGATCAGCTGGTATAGTTTTCACAGCAGTGACAGGGTTAGCAAGATGTGACATCTTTCCCCTTCAAATCCCCAGTGGTGTTCTTCTTATGAAAGTACTTTCCAGGAACCTTTGCAGTTAATGTGTTCTTAGCAACTGTTCCCATCATACCCAAGCCGTGCTCACCCATCCAATCCAAGATGGAATCTGATACTAGGAAGAAATTGTAAGCGGTAATGCAAGGCAAGGACTTCCACAGCTYGCCCAATCCAATGTTACCAAGAGCAAAGTTTTCAACAAGGTGGTGAACTTCAGCAGGGCTGGTGCACAAATGTCTATCATCACTAGATTCCCATCCACGATATCGGTGTTTCCATAATTGGGGTGGATGCAATCAACATCCCACATAACAAGGACTGCTTGTCCGCCTCTTGTAGCTTTCTTTCCTTTAAGATAGTTAACAAGTGGATCCCCAAAGTGTTGATATGGCCAGCTTTTCTTGTCAATACATAGGTCCAAGCCAGCCCATTCAGTGAAATAATTCATAGTATTGTTGACAATAGTCTTGTAGATGTACTAGTCAAACTTGTAAGCTACCTTGCCACTGATGGCGCTCCATGGTAGGTCCTTTCCAATTTTTTTTTGCATAGCTTCAAGTTCCTTTTAATTTCATGCCACCTTATGCAAGTCATTGCGTTTGCAATCTCCTCATTAAATGAAAGATCCTTAGAATCCCATCTATACTTGATATTTTCACTTGCTCCTTCACAAGCTCCATGCATWAAAAGGATGCCATCAAAATGAACTGGTTCAGGTAAGGTGACAGGTTTCACTTGGTGTCCTTTCCCTTCATTTGAATCAGAGATGTAGACATTGTATATTGCATGACCTTGTTATAATAAGTATGCTTCTTCTCAGGTTCAATCTGGTAGCGCTGAGCTTCTTCTTGCAAATCTGGAGCAAGAATAGTAGGAAGAAGCAGTAGCTTCAGAACATGATTGTGAGGACTCCTCTGTGTCCAATAATTGACAAAGAGTTGCCTTGTTGCTACCAATATCATGAAGGAAGAGCAGTATTGGCCAAGTACTAGTATTGGTGCAACATTGGAAGTTATTTTAGTAGGTCAATATGCTGTTCATTGAGAATTTAGTGGTTCCGGGATGTCGACTGACATCAAGACAAACATTACATAGGTCAAATGATGTAGTTGGACAAGATTTTGTGATGTCAGTGGGTGCACTGGACATATTTTACACCAAAAAACATAGCCTGTAATCTATGACTGGATTGTAGATCTGCTGGCCAAGCCTGCTATTACGCTAATAGAAATATTTTCTGGAGAAGTTTTGTGGGTGGAGGGGGGGATAGGGGAAACGGAGATGGGAGAATGAAAAAAATCGAATTATTGTCGAACGAAACGTCTGGGCTCTCTCCCTTTCTCCGTGAAAGGAAGTCAAAACAGGTTTTCACTAGAAACAACGTTTTCAACAATTACATTCCGCTGTAAAATTCAGACGAACGATGGAGATTGCCGATGAGGGAGGTACTGTCGCGACGACTCCGACAGGATACACAACAGAATTGAGTAGCAATGTCTCTGGTACTGGGTCCAGATCCACCGCGTTTACCAATTCAAATGCTGAGTTTCCGCTGTCAACTAGTCCTCCGGAATCGACCTCTCAGAGTGTGAACACGGTGGGAATTTCTGTACGTTTCAGAACTTGTTTTATACGAATTGAAAATGCTAGAGGAAATAATTTATCCTCACCAAATATATTTTTCACTCAGTAGGCATATGTGGTACCGCCACGAGAACCGAATGTAGAGGTCATTGATGCCTTGACTATAGTACCAGAATATAAGGTGATCAAAGAGAGAGAAAAAAGGAAGAGAATATACCTTATCGGAGGAATAATTCTAATTGCGGTGTTTGTGCTAGTCGTGGTTGCAATTGTTGTTTTAACACGAAATAGAGAAGCAAAAAATGATGAATCAAATTCTGTTTTGACTCCTGGCCAAAATCCTACGAATGCTCCTTCCTATCAAGCACCTTCCGAATCTCCAACCGCTAGCAACTTTGTAGAAATTCTTTCGACGATTGGAAGTTTTTACGACGAGAATGGCCAATTTGCCGCTATTTTTTCCAACGAATCGTCACCGCAATATCGAGCGGCCACGTGGGTCGCCGATACCGCTTCGATTGCTGGGGTTATTGGAAACACTAATCGAATCATCAATAGATTCTCTTTGGCGACGTTATACTTTGCAACCAATGGTGATGATTGGCATAAGTGCGGCAGAGGATCTACATACTGCGATTCTTCTGAAGAATGGTTGACAGCAACGAACGAATGTGACTGGTATGCCATAGAGTGCAACGATGATGATTCCAGCATTACAAAGATATTTTTTCGTAAGTTTAGTAGTTTGTGCTGTAGCTGTTCGTCGCCCATGATGTAACCGATCTTTTTTGGTGTATAGTATCAATCAACTCACACCAAACAACGTTTCTAGCAGCTTCGAACGGCGGAAAGTCAAATAACATACGAGGTACTCTGCCGTATGAAATCTCTTTTCTATCGAAGCTGACTGTGCTCATCATACCCAGAGGACCAGTATCTGGGGCGTTTCCTGATTGGTCGAAACTGTCTAATTTGGAACATGTTCTGATGAATAACAACCGAATCAGTGGTGAATTTCCACAGTATCTAATCCGACAGAACCCAATGCTCAAAACTGTTCAGTTCAACAACAACAATTTTCAAGGGCATCTGCTTCGAGAAGAGTTATCGATTGATTCTACTTCGCTCTTGGACCTCAGTTTAAATGGAAACAACATTACGGGATCTATCCCATCACAAATTAGCAAACTATCCCTGCTGAGTAAGTCGATGAATCTTTGTTGCTSCTGAATTTCAAGGGTCTCTACTATCTCGAAATCACTCATCGGTGTGCTCTTTGCTATTCAATACAGCAACATTTAATTTAGGTGATAATGGATTCACGGGCATCATACCACAAGAACTATAYACTCTCACTTATCTCAAATCATTTAACGTGAGCAATACGCTTTTGGACGGAGAATTATCTCCATCTATTGGCAATTTTTCGCAACTTCTTTCTTTCGATGCAGCAAACACGGATATAGGCGGTACTTTGCCAATATCATTTTTCTCGTTATCCAATCTTCGGTTTGTAGACTTCAGTTTTGGGAAATTCAATGGGTCCTTGCCAGAATTATTTTCCGAGCTGACAAATCTCGATACTGCTGTATTGCACAACAATGGTTTTACAGGTACAATTCCTGTAGGCTTTGTGCGCCTCCCTTTCCTTGGTAAGTTCCGTTATGATCGGTCTATTTTAAAGCTGACCGAATTCGAAATTCTCATCAATATTGTCCACGAATGAAACTCCAGAAAAATTAGAGCTCCATTTGAATAACCTCAGTGGCATTGTATCAGAWCAATTGTGCGGTCGTCGCGTGGAAGGATCTGGGAAAATTCAAATTCTTACTGTTGATTGTGAGAAGGTATCTTGTTCGTGTTGTACAAACTGTCCTGAAGACAGGTAAAAAAATCTAATCTCCCAAMTAGAGTATTCATACTATCCATACTTTCCTATCAATCGGATCTTTAAGCATGCACTCACAATCAAATGCTAAAGATCGCTCTATGAGGCTCAGTACGCTATTGCTTATTATTGTATCAAAAAGATTATCACTTCACCCATTTGATTCATAGGCAGCAGACTTATGTTTTGGCTTGAAGGCAAAGCCGTTGGGTACCGGACCAAGTAGCATTTCGGAGATCTTTACCCAGTCCGAACTATGAGGCGACAAGAACAGTGTTTCCAGGTCGCTTCTTCCCTTCAGGTACAGAGGCGGACGATGGTTCATCTTTTGGGGCAACACCTCCAGCAAACCAACAGGCACGTACCGGTACAAAAAGGACAACCACTCGAGGAGAAACCGGCGGGTGTTGTTGATTCCCTGCTGGTCACTTCCCCAGTGCTCAAGGCCGTGCTTGACGAAATCTTTTAAAATGTCCAGGCGTTCTGATGCGGAAATGTCCCAGTCCCTCTTCTCTTTGATCTCCGTTGGCAACCACGGCTTGATCAGCGCTCCTCTTCCGAGCATCGCCGTGGTAGACAATCCGTCGCGCGCCAAAACCTTTTCTTTGTATTCCGAAAACGAAAAAATGTCCCCGTTTCCAATAAGGGGGACTCGGGGGATGTCTTTGGATTCGGCGTTTGCGACCTTGCCAATGTAATCCCAATCTGCATCCAGCTTGTACCTTTGAAGTCGAGACCTTCCATGAACCTGTGTGAAAGAAATCCACGCAAAACAACAAAGAGTTAGAGTCGATTTTGGATTCGAACCACGCTCGGGAATGTACGCGACACAGATTCTGATTCTTTTCGGGTTCTGGGTTTGTATAATCCAGTAGGTGCATCCTTACCATAATTGCTGCGAGGTTGTCAATCTTCCAGGATTGAATCTTAGGCACGAGCTCGTGCGCAAACGGCCTGTGGATGTTCCACCCGGTTCTCATTTTCACCGTGATGGAGCACGACAGGTTCTTCGACATGCCCGCGAGGGCACCCTTGAGCTTGTTTTCGCGCATCATGAGCGCCGCCCCAGCTCCCTTGTTGCAGAGCAGGTCCAGCGGACAACCGAGGTTCATGTCCACAAAGTCGACATCGGTGTATTTTTCGATGAGTTCCGACACGCGCGTAAACTGATCCGCATGGGCGGCGGCGATTTGTATGCCAAAGACGTCTTCGCTCGGGTGTCGTTTGAGAAGGGCCCATTCCGATGTTTTTCCTTCCAGCAGGTTGGTCGCTACCGCCATTTCCCCGCACGTAATGTCGGCTCCGTATTGCTTCATGATGCGGCGAAAGGGAAGGTTCCCAACTGTCGTTAGGGGTGCTACGTAAACCTTGTTGGAGAAGTCGACAATCTTTTTGGTTTTTAGGTGGTCGAGGGGTGTGAAAGACGAAGCGGAGGTATTCGTACGGGCCGCTGTTGTGGTTGCGGGGCTCGCATCCGTATGGATGGTGGGAGAGTTCGTGTCCTTGGCCTCCTTTATGGGGGCAGGAGCGGCCTCGGCAGTAGGAGCACCGGCATCCGTGTTTGTTGCGTCGGGCGGAGGGGTGGGCTTGTCTTTCTTCTCGCAAAACCGCTTGCACTCGAAGGGATAGGTCTTTTTCCTTAGTTGAAATACCACATCCCTCGGCAGGATGGTACCGCTGTTGATTTTGGGCTCTTCCAGCGCTCCCTCCTTGCCCCCGGCCTTCTCTTTTTGGTATTCTGCCATTTTGGCCTCGTCGCGGACGTTTTCTCCAGCCTTGGTAATGTGGCAGGATCCCAGGCGGCATATCGCCCCGTAGAAGCAATACCCGGTGGTTCGAAAGGTCGGACAGGAGCCCCCCATCGCGTCCACCAGCTCGCAAATGTCGGCCGGTCGCGTGGCCATGAAGCCCTTGAGGTCGTGCGAGAAGCGACAGGTATCTCCGTAGGGGCAGCTCTCGCCGCGCAGGATCGCCATGCAGACCTTCTCCGCGTTGTCCTCGCGGGCGTCCCGGGGGCGTTTCTTGTTCTGGCCCCGCCGCTTCTTTCGCTTGTTCCTCTTCCCGCCACGGTCGCGGTCGTCCGAGTTCGYGTCTGCGTTCGCGCTTTCCTCCGTGTCGCCGACGTTCTCGGGCACGAACCGGACGGGTCCGAGGCTCTCCGCCCGCGCCGAGAGGATGAATTCGGGCTTGACCTTGAGCTCGAACAAGCCGTCGGCCTGGCCGCCCGACGATTTCTTGTCGCGGTCGTCGACGCGAGCTACGGTCGCGTCCTTCGTTGCTGCGGGGGTGCTCGGTTCGGCGGCAGCGGAGGCCGTGGCAACCGGTTCGGTTGGCGATGACATGGGAACGAGAGCAACACTGCACGAACCCAATACCTGCTGGTGTCGATTGGCGACGATTGGTGGGGCTGTCTTGCCGAGAGAAGAGATATGGTCTATGGAATTCCGGGCGCGCCGTGTTAGAAGGATGGGTCTTCGAATCGATCTGCGAAAGATTTATGGATTGATTAGTTGGTTGGTTGGTTGGTTGGTTGGTTGGTGGATTCTTGTTGATTGCCCTCTCCCTGTCCTCTCCATCAAAAACTCACCTCTGTTCTCGAAATCAAAATTCTCTAAAAATTTCGAGTGTCAACAACACCTCTCTCGCGCAAAGATCTGGGATGCAGCATCTGGACGACGAGGTATCGATGGAAATCAATGGTGGGGGAAATCCTACCTTACCTTCAAAAGGGGCAAAAGTGAAACCAGTTGATTTTCCCCTACAACTCTGCAAGATCATTTCTGAAAATCCGCCTTTTGATTACACGTGGAATATGTATATGTACCATCGCTAATTGCCAAAATAGCATCATACGGTAATACTATCATATCTTATCATATCTTACCGTACGATGGCCGAACGGTACGGTAGGAATACAAGCACGAAAACAAAAAAAATAAAAAATACCACATGGAAGTTGGAGGCAGGTTTACTAGTACAGTGAAATTACTAGTACAGTGAAATTGAATGCGTAAGTACCAAGTACAGTACTGTACTCTACTACTGCATGACAACATAGTACGTACTCGTATGCAGGAAACAGCACGATCCAGTTTCAAATCCTGCCCCCACAACATCAAACCAAATGCGAAGCAGCACGGAAGGCCAGCTAGCATAGAGAGAGCGAGAGATTGGGTGAGACGAGGCCGCCCAAAAGCAACGAGAAAGGCGATTCCGTAGAGAGATCGAGAACAAGGCTGCGGCACAGCGCCGAACGAGAGAGACGAGACCAGACCAGACCAGACCAGACCACACTCGATCCCACCTGTGCCAATGGGATTGTTGGGCGGGGGGCCGTCGAGGCCGATGGGAGCCAGGCTTCTGGCGTGGACGTCGCTGTGGATCGGATCCGCGCTGCTCTCGGCGTCTGTCGTGGATCGTCACCCCCTCGTGGCGGAGGGGGCCGCCTTTGCGTCCCCGCCGAGGGCGTCGCCCTCCCTGGCACCGACGCCGTCCCGTTCCGATCCGCGGGGGGTGGCGCCCTCGCTGGCTCCTTCCGCGGCGCCGACGACGCCGACGCAGCGCTCCGCGAAAAAAGCAAAGAAGCAAAAGAAGGAAGCAAAGGGGCACCGCGGCGACGCGGCGACAAAGCCGGCGCGCCGCACCGGGAGCAGCGGCGGGGGCAAGCAGCGATCCCCCGCGTTTGGCCTCGGGAAACAGCGGCGCCGGGAGGGAGCGCCGCCACGGGACGGGCGCGATGGTGGTTCGGCGGGGCCTTCCCGGCCCCGCAAGCGGCGGCGAACGGAGGGGGCGGAAGACCGAAACCCAGAGCGGGCCGCGGCGGCCTTTGTCCGGAGCCACGGCGCCGCCGGCGGAAAGCCCGCGAAAGACCCGAAACGAACCGCGGAAAAAAGCAGCAAGGCCGGCAAAAAAAACAAGACCAAGGGCCGRAAGGCTTTCCACGCAGCCCCGAACGGCGCGGTTCGTGGCGACCGGGAGCGGGATCTCCCGGCATCCTCGCTCGAGCGGCCGAGGTCCTCCCCCGGAAGACCAAGCACGCCGAGAAAACCCGCTGGGTCGCTGCCCCAACGAAAGAAGCACTCGAAATCAAAACCCCGAAGCCACAAATGCGACCGAGACCTTCCGACCCGAAAAATGGAAAAATCGTCTCGCAAAAAGAAGAGACGAAAGCCCAAAACCATTGGGTCGAATGGCAACGTCGGGGCGGCGAGACCAGAACAGACAAAACTCAAACCACCTGATTCATTGCATACCGCTGCTACCAAACCAGACCCCGAATCGTCTGGATCCGAACCAGCGCCACGAAAGACCAAGACGCGGAAGAAAAAGCGAAGGAAGAAGATCGCCTCATCGGCCAAGGCAGCGGCGAAGGCAGAAGCCAGTACATCGCTTCCAGCACCAAGTGCCGATGGCAGTTCGGACAAGGAACCATCCAAGCAGCAGCAACAGAAGCACGCCGAGGAGGATTCCATCGAGCAAACAATGGACCCCACAACAGCGGCAGCCAACATTCCGAAAGCTCCGAAATCGAAAAAAAGAAAGAAGCGGCGCAAAAAGAAGCCTTCGACCGACCGGGAAGAAGCGGGTGTGGAAAAGGACGAATCGGCATCATCATCAACACCACCACCAMCAACAACGATCGATGCCCCGTTGCCTCTCTCCAATGTCGAGGCTACCGAGCGCGACGCGTCAAGCACCGAACCACAGGCGGAAGAAGCGGACATAGATGGGCTGGAATTGTCGCCTGCGCCTGCCGTGGAAGAGGATGAAGATGAAGACCAGGTGAACACGGCATCTCCAGATGAGAGTGAAAGACTAGCAGAAGAAGTTCAAGGCGACGAGTCTCCTACGGAAATGGAAGCCGAGGAAGCGAAAAAGGTCAACGAAGATGAATCCGTCGACAACATTCGGGAAGACGAAAACAAGGAAGAAGACTCTGTTGCGGAGRGGATTGATGCCGATGAGCAATGCAAAGATGAGCGCGAATGTCAGAAAGAAGATGTTGATGTCGAGAATGACGGCAAAGATGAGTCTACGGTCGATGACAACGAGGGCATCTCGAATGCCAGTGACGATGCCACCTTCGATGAGCAGAAGTCATCCGAAAAAACGGAATCACAGGAGGTCGATGGGGAAGAACCAGTGATCGAAATGGTGGTCATTGCCGAAGAAAGCGAAGGCAGCACGAAGAACGACGCTGAAGAGACCGAAATTGAGCAAGAGGGAACGCCCGCAGAATGCGAAATCCTCTCCGTGGAAAAAAATATGGAGGAAGACAACGCAGAAACGAAAGAAAGCATGGAAGACGGAAACGTCAACGAAAACCCCGACGATGTCGGAGAGGAATCATCCGAAGCAAAGGTCGAGGAAGATGAGGTCGCAGCCGATGAAAATCCGGTSGTTTCTGATCAGAACAGTGAAGATAACGACGATGAAAGCGACGATGGAAACAAGGAAGTAAATCCCGGCAACGCAGMAGAAGATTCATCCCAAGCAAAGGTCGGCGAAGATGAGACTGCAGCCGATGAAAATCCGATCGTTTCTGATCAGAACAGTGAAGATGGTGACGATGAARGCGACGGTGGAGATAATGATGAAAATCCCGGCAACGCCGAAGAGGATTTATCCCAAGCAAAGGTCCAGGAAGACGAGACCGCGGTTTCGAAGGAGAATTATGAAGAAGATCACGATGAAAAAGAAAATAATTCGGATGATCGTGAACCTGACCAGGAGGCAACAAGCAGCAAAAWCGAAGGCTCCGTTGATCCCGAACAAGACGTGGTGAGTTTCATCGAAGAAGTCCTCCAAGAAAATGTGAGTTCTTGGATAGATGACACGAGTACTGACTCTAACGTTGAGAATGTTGTAAATAAGACTAGAGGAGGTCATTCCGATGATTTGGACGAAGTCGATGACGATGATGATGATGATGATGATGATGATGATGATGATGATGAAGAAGCGCTGGTGCCCGAGCAGAACGACGATGCTGATTCAACAGTTTTATCCACAATCAATGAGATTTCTGAAGCTTCGGACTCATCTTCTCAGGAACCAAACGAGAAATTACCCACGAATAGAGACTCGCTAGAAACATTGGGTGACAAGGACTCCGATACAGTCGTCTCTATCGTAACTTGGAACCTCGCGGAAGATTCTCCTTCTGAAGAAGATGCTGCATTCATTCGAAAATTTAGGAAGAATGGAGTTGTCGAAGGTCAAGGAAGTGACTTTGTCCTCATATCCGGGCAGGAATGTGAAAACATAAAGCCTCGAAGGAGCGAAGGACGACGATCAAGGGAATATCGACGCTTGATGATCAAAATGCTCGGGAAAGAGTACGTCCCTCTGGCRTTGCACCTTCTTGGTGGAATTCAGTTTGGCCTTTTTGCAAAGAGATCAATTTTGGAAGAAATCGAAGATGTTTGTGTAGCGGATGTGACCTGCGGAATTGGCAATGTCTTTCACAACAAGGGGGCTATTGCCGCCTTTGTCAAAGTCAAGGCCAGGAACGACAAACAAAGTAGTACAGATGAAAGACGATCCAAATCGTTACGGATGGTTTTTGTCACTGCCCATTTGGCGGCTCACGTAAAAAATGCTGATGCGAGAGATTCCGACTTTTGGCGTATTTCTTCCGAATTAGAGGCTCAAGCCCCCGAAGGATTCCTCCCACGGAAGAGGGAAGGCGAGAACCCAAGTGGTTCCTTCCTCTTTGAYTCTGTTGATCGCGTATTCTTCTGTGGCGACTTAAATTATCGCCTCGATTTGCCTCGGGAACTGACCGAGCACACACTTCTCCATAAAACAAGCCAAGACAATCCAATCATTAAGGACCTCCTCCGTCACGATCAACTGATTCATTCCATGGCAGGAGGAAAATCATTCCCAGCATTTGCAGAGGGCAAGATAACGTTCATGCCAACCTTCAAATACGACAAGGAGTCCAGTTCTTACGATACTTCGCACAAACAAAGGATACCCGCATGGACAGATCGTATTTTGTTTCAGCCCTCCGATGGCATTCGTGTGCTCGAGTACCAAAGCGTTCCTGGAGCACAGTCCTCGGATCATCGTCCAGTATTTGGTTCCTACAGAGTAGGTATGGAAGGTCGAGTGATACCACCGTCTCCCAAGAAGAGGAAGCGGAAACGAGTCAAAGAGCCTCCGTCTCGTTACCACGACGAATACTAGTTCACAACTTTGTGAACGTAGCTAGGTAAAACGCAAAATGGAAAAACCTTGAAAGCGCATTCGAAAAACAAAATCATTTAGTCGCTACCAACACATTTTCGATAGTCTAGTTCTTATATTAATAAGCAATATGGTTGAAAGTGTATACGGTGTCTATGGTTCAAACTTCAGCAAGACAAAATCGTGATATTCTTCTCCATCTTCCACATCGTCGTCGGCTCCACTGCCAAGCGACTTGTCTAGTTTTTGTGTTAGTTGGTGGTCTTTTCCCGGGTTTACCTTGTACAACACAGATGTAAAGTCGACTGGCAAACCATAACGTAAGACAGATTCGACAAATACGCGAATAGCCTTGATGTGCATCCAGGCTACAAACGCATCACCAAAGTGGGTCTTGCACCATCTCATGAGCGCACTCTTCATTCCATCGACTTCGAYCTGCAGTTGCTCCCTGACCATCTGTGATTTCATAGCTTGTGATGGATCCCAGGTGAAGTCGCGAAGAACAAAACGCTTTTCACGGCAGGCCTTCGCCAGCTCCGGCTCGAACTCCTTGTAAGTTCCGGGATGGAACTCGCTGCCCTCGTAGTAGCCTGCTTCGTACTCTCCCTTGAGGATTGTAACGGCGTAGAGGAWTGAGTCGTCGTCTTGCTTCACAAGCTGGATCGATCCTGGGACAACCGGCGAGCCGCTTACTTTGTGACGGTCGATTTGGTTTCCGAAGGAAATCGGTCCACCAAGTTTGCTGGCATCCCGGCTCCAATCGGGSCCTCCAAATCCAACTACATCGCTCGCAATGCTCTCGATCGAGCCTTCGAAGTTTTCTTTGGCTGTTTTCGGAATTGCGATAAAGACTGTTTTCAGATATTCTGAATCCACTACGTTGACTTTGCTCATGGTTTCTGCGTCCAATGAATCATTCAGGTCTGCCTTCATCAAGTTGCCACCCGATTTGCGCTTTGCCTCTACCAAGGCTGCCTGCTTATCGGCAAACGAGGTTGTGAGCTGCTTGAGCTCCTCCTCGATTCCCGCTGCCCCACCAGCAATCATGGCRACGAGTTCTTTCAGTGGTCGTCGGTTGGGATATTTCGCGGAATCCCAGGCGAACTGCTGGATGTACCTCTGTGCGGGGACTCCTATCGTCGACACAGGTGCGTCCCGAGAGCGACAAATGAAATTATCAGCACGCGCAATCATAAATTCTGAAACAAAACAAATGCAATGCAAAGAAACAAAATCGAACAAAGCAAGCCAAACTAAACTAAAACTGACCTCCAACTGTGAGATCGGACGACTTCCCACCAAACAATTCTGCGGTTGTCCTTTCGATCTTTCTTACTGTTGATTCGACAACACCATCTGTCTTCACTAAATCGTCACTCAATGTCATAAGAGTGTCCAAGGTGCCGACGGTCAAAGAGGGTACTTCGAACTTGAACATTTCTGGATTAAATCGGACAGCGACAAAAAGATACAATTGAATTTGTCAGGTCCATATACTGCATCAGGRAAGGGCATGTAGTCAAAGCAGATGGTTCAATCACGCCATTGCCGCTCTTCGTTCTACCGAGGATCACACCATCTCAAACCGTACCACACCGCACCGCACCACCCATGGCATACTTTTCTCTKCCGATCGAAAAGATACTCACCGGCATAAGGGGCCTCCGGACACGCCCCGGCCGATTGCATTTTCCGGTATGCTTGTTCGGGAGCACCCCCATCGTTCGATATAGCRACTAAGAAGTAGCTCATCTTCAATACTTAATTTGGATGCTACAAAAGTCGCGGTGAAATAGAGATAGACCCTCCAAGCTTGCTGGTGATGACAGAAGATAGAAAGCTCGCTTGCTTGTTGCAGTTTTTGGTGCCCTGCTCGTTCCGTGTTCAGGGGCGAAGCCCTGCAGGATCCAAAGGGAGTCGAGAGAGCGATGGATTTCCTCGTGTTCGCTATTGTAGAAGTTTGGCGAGCGCGTCTGACGAGCGCGCGTCAGGACCGTAACGGATCGATTGTGTTCCATACAGTACCGGTACAAGGTTTCCCGTACTGCGAGTGTCGTACGAGTAAATACGTATGRTACGTACGACACCACACGAACACGGTCCTGAAAATGAGCGTACTCGTACTATTACTACTACAAGTACCGTTGTCAAAGAAAATTACTTCGTATTTTTCATTTCTCGTTACTATGAAGATTACTATGAAGAGAAAAATGAGAAAAAGAGAGCTAGAGGGGTTTTGAGAATCACTAGCTAGTACTACTACTASTAGTAGTAGTAGTAATAGAATCAACTCTGTTGGTTCTGAAATACTGCTGGTCAATTGCTGTTCTCCTTTTTTGTCCAGGTGCTGGCTGCTGGTGGTGTCAGAGCACCTGCTGGCAGTCAAAGAACAAGAAGAAGATTGTTTGCTCCTGCTGCTCTTGGCGGGCTWTGTGAAGGATCTGCTTGGAGTGGCAACGCGGGTAGTAGTAGTAGTAGTGAAAGCGGTATGAAGCAACAAGGAGTTTCTCTTCCTGTCACCAGACGCCACACAGGCTGCTGGAACGGGCCACAAAGGATTCCAGTCTTTACTACTAGTAGTAATAACACTAGATAGCAGTTGCTTGTTTTTGACGCAGGTGTCTCTCCCGTTGTGTTGTACTATACTACTAGTGCTACAACTACTACTATCGTGCACATACATCGGGCAGCAGGTATTGTCCTAGTAGTAGTAGTAGTAGTAGTAGTAGTAGTAGTAGTAGTAGTAGTAGTAATTCGCATACCGTTCGAGGTTCTTGTTCGACAACTCGTTCGATGGCTGCGTCTCGAAAGGATTGTGACAAATAATTCAGAGAYGCGAATGGAATCCATTGCTACGGTCGAACCGYGGTGGGTGCCGTGGTTGCTGCTGGAATGGGCGAAGAGCGAGCGTCCAGGGGAAGCATCGTCCCGTGCTTCGCCGCGCCGTGGTCACCCGTAAAAGGACGCCCCGCCGTGGCCGGCCGCGGCGTCCCCGGTCCCTCGCTGCTGCTGYTGCTGCCGCAGCCGGCGCTCGCGCTCGTACTCGGGGTCGTCCGTGGGGAGTTCCCGGCGGCAATACGGGCAGGTGTTGTGGGACTCGAGCCAGTGCAGCGCACAGGCCTCGTGGAAGACGTGGCCGCACCCCGGCAGCTGCACGACCGTCTCGCCGTGGGCCAGCTGCTCGCAGCAGACGGGGCAGTCGCAGGATTGCTCGGTGATGGCCAGGTCGCACGAGAGGCCGTACAAGAGATGGTGCTGTGGTTGTGGTTGTGGCAGTTGGTGGTCATTTTGTTCGTGTTCGTGTTCGTGTTCGTCCGGCTGCGGTGGCTTGGGTTCTTCGGGAGTTGCGGGCCCCGCCGGGTGCTGGGCCGACACGAGGATCTGCTTCGGAATGGGAGGCTGGGGCATCGATGGCTTTTGGAGCCCGGCCGTTTTGGTTTGCGCCGCCTCGAGCAAGCGAATGATTTCCCGGCCGTCTTCTTCCTTGACCATGGCGACGGGGATGCATATCGATCGGCCCGGTTTTGTCGACTCCCCGGCCAAATCCTTCATGACGTACGGCCACGGGGTGGGGGTGTTGTTTCCGATGATCACGGCYGAGGCCCCGGCGTCTTGCGCCATGCGTGCCTTTTGGACGTAKGTGAGCCCGTCCCCCCTCTGCATGTACACGACGACCTTGTTGGTTCCGCTGCCGCCGAGCCCGGAAATGCGGGCTTTCGTCGCTTCGTCCAGTCCGCCCTTGCCGGTCACCGGCGAGGCTGCAACCAGGGGGGTTTTCCCCATTTCGAAGGAATGTTCTCCGGCGGGGCCGAATTCTCCGAGCACGCAGTCAAACTTTCGCAGGTTTTCTTTCGCGGCGGTGGCGTTGGTCCTTCCGGTGGCGCTGGTGACCGACGAGGCCGAGGGCCGGATGGCATCCGGGTGGACCGGGGCCGTCGTGGACAGCAGGCAGCAGGTGCCGCTGCCCGGGGCGGGAACGCCGGCGGCGACCCGGAGGGTGGCCTGCCGAAACATGGTGCTCCGGTCGTTCAGGACGAACCGGGGGATCCTGGCCAGGGCCTCCTTGCTGGTCGGCCGGGAGGAGGCCCCCGCCCGGTCGGCCCCGTGCTGGGGGTCCCAGAACTCCCGMGGGAGGTTCCCCCGCTCGTCCCGTTCCTCSAGGATGTCCCGGGTCAGAACGTCCAGGTTCTGGACCTGGCCCCGGAGGTTCCCCAGTATGTTCCTCAGGTCCCGGCTCGCCGCCTGCATCTCGAGGATCAGGTGCTCGGGAACGTTTCCCTGGAGCGCCGCGAGGACCGGGTCCGGATCCGCCGGATGCGCGGGGGCTTGCCCCTGCCGGTCCGCTTGGAGCGGCCGTGCCTCCAGCGTGGCCCCGCAGACGGAACAAATGGTGGGGTGGTCCGTGCAGGCCTCTTGGCAGACCCCGCACCAGTTGTCGGACGCCATGGTTGGGTTGGGTTCGGTTGGGTTGGGTTCGGTGGTTTCGGGGAACAAATCGCGGGGTGCACTGCAAGAAGTATCGTGTCGTCGCCTACCGATGGGTGGTGTCGTTGCTGTTGCTGTTGCTGCAGCCGCTGCTGGGCTGGGATGGGCTGTCACGAACAATCAACGAATGATCGGTGATGCCATTGTACATTGTACTGTACATTGTACCGTGCGCAGTCGTACTCGTACCATCCTGTCGTACATACGAGTATCGCATCGTGTCTCGTCTCGTAGTACCGTGTCTCGTGTCGGACGATATTCGTTCGTTACTTTTCGATCGTTTTTCGCGATTCAACATTCATTCTAACCGAATTTCGTTTTTGTTTCTCACGGCAACAACCCCGAATGAATTGAATTGTTGATTTTGACGATTGGCTGACGCGCGCGGAGAAAAGCCATAAGTTGTTCGCGCGGGGAGACATTTCCCTAGTTTTTGGGTGGAATGAGAACCAACCCTACGGTAGTACTTGGTACTCATAGTAAAGTATTACCCAAAGTATCTCTTACTAGTACTACTATTAAAATTAGTAGTAGTAGGGTTGGGGTGAGCTCATTCGGAATTTCACAAAAAGACCATCTATATTGTTCACTAAAACAGAGCCATGCCATGGCCATAAGAGTGCAGCACTGTCAAGCCAAAAAGGCAAGTCCTTCCGCAGCAGTGATCACCAAGAAGAAGGAAAGAACAAGTGCGAAGCACACAGCCAAGAAGCCAATTACTAAGGCAAAAAGATTTCCCACGACAGCAGTGTGATACTCAAACACAGGGGGTGGTGAAGTAGTCATTTTAAAAGGAAAATAAAAAAAATACTAAAAGCTAAAAGAAAAAAGAAAAAAGCCAAAAAGCCAAAAAGAAAAAGAACACTAGTAGCTAGTAGTACTACTAGTAGACTACTACTAACAAACTGACTCAGTCTTGGTGTAGTTGGGCCCACACATACTAGGTAATGGTCGTGATGAAGATATTTTGTGGAGGTAGAAGTGCCAATGGTGGCCCTGGCAGTATTGCTGCATGAAAAACTGTCCTTGTTGAAGTCCTTACTTGGAAAAGGGGTCATGGACAAGAGGACTGGGGATACTAGTACTAGATCAAAAAGTTCTAGGTTGGGGTTTGATTGTGTGCTGTTGCTGTTGAACAAGAAGAATGATTTCAGAAACAACAACATCAACAAGCGGAAAACTTCTTCTGCTGGTTAAGAAAAGAACTGGTGGGACATGGTGGAGCTGAGGCTCCTGGGGGGGGAATCTGAGTATGCAGCAAATACTCCAGTTGGTATTCTTCAAAGGAATTGCATGGTCTGGGTTGGATACCTTGGGCTGAGGTTGTTTTTGTTCCTGTCTGCTGGTGGCACAAATTTTGGATTCAACAATATTGTGACTAGTACTAGTAGTACTACTAGCTAGTAGTAGAAGAACAAGAACAAGACACCGCTTCTTCTTGTTCTTCTGCTGGTTGTGAAAACAAACAAGAACTGGGGCAAGGAGCTGAGGCTAGGGAATCTTCTTTAAACTGAGTATGCAGAGTATGTAACATATACTCCAGGTATAGTTCTTCAAAGGAAAGGTCTTGGTTGAATACTGGGAGCAGTTTTAGCAGTACTACTAACTAGTAATAGCTAGTAGTACTACTCCATATCACGTTTGTACTGTACCGTACGAACCGTACCATAGTGCTCGTACCGTAGTTTTGTCATACAATAGTAACTTAGGTACTAGGCATACTAATACGTGGAACACGTCACAGCGTCGTCACGTCGGCAGCAGCCACTTCTTTTGTGAAACGTCTTCCCGTGAAAAGGAGACTTCATGATGATGATGTGTGTATCATTTGCGCTCATGGAATTTCTGAATTCACCAAAACAAGAACTCGGTTTGATGTGAGATTATCGTACTTCGAGGAATGACGACGGAATTAAGAAATAGCGTTACTTCAGTTACGTACTTGTGCTCGTCGTTGTTCTCGACCTCAAAGTCTCACAGCGGATAACGATTTAAAAGTAAAATACAAACCAAATAGGAGCAAGACAACTAAACCAAAAGACAATAAAAAATGACAATAATGCCATGGACGAGTTTACAGTTGTTGGTTGCCGTCACCGTTCACCTTGCTACAGGTTTTGTACAATTTTCCCCAAATGACAGAAACCCTACCGATGTCAGAATAGGAAAGTCTTCGCCATTGTATGCAACGATAGCCAACTCGACGACGGAAATAATGACGCAAGGTGTTCACAGAAGAAAGGAAACTATAAAGAAACACACATTCAAGGGTGACATAAACCGTGCTTATAGGAATGGAAAGCCGAAAGGCCCCGTAAAGAATGAAAATCACCGACGAACTACGACTTCTCCAACAATACAAAAAGTGAAGGCGTCTCCTCAATTTCGAAACGGCAACAATGGTAAAAAGAAAACGAGCAACAGAAACCATAAGCGAAAGAAGACTTCAAAGGAGCATCAATTCCAATGGCTTCATTGGGTCTACAAACAATGGGTCGATACATCTCCTGGCGATCTGACCGATGAAAATGTGCTCAAGCAGATGATGGCAGCCATTCCGAGATGGTCGAAAAGGAAGTCTCCTGAAGCTGCGAAACGAGCAGAAGAGATATTGGAGCGTCTCATTAGAGAGTCGCTTGCTGGGAATCCTCACATGAGGACGAACGCAACAACTTCAACGACTTCCGAATCAGCAGAAGCTTCCTCTCCTTCTATGATGCTAACCGTATCAGACTTCAACGCGGCAATGGATGCCTATGGAAAAATTGGAGATCCTGCGGGTGTTCAGCGGATCTTGCGACGAATGGAAGCCTTGAGAATCTCTTCCATCGAAGACTTTTCTGACCTGCAACCCGACGAATTCTCGATGAGTACTCTCGCTACCGCTTGGGCCAAGAGTTACTCGGATGAAGCAGCGCAGAAGGCAGAAGCAATCATTCAATACATGGATTTGAAAGGATTGATTCCTAACACTATTACGTACAACTCCATCCTCCATGCCATTGCTGTAGGAAATGAATGCGATAGGGCATTGAAGGCCGAGGACATTGTCCAACGAATGAAACAGCGTCACGAAGAAAAAGGAGAAGATTGTCAGCCGGATGTGTATACCTACCAGTCGCTAATCCAGGCCTGGTCGAGGACATCATTGCCAGGGGCACCTCAAAAAGCGGAGCAAATTTTGCAATTTATGGACGATGAATCTTCTTCGGGAAAGAAAAATTGCCACCGACTGGCTCCAAACGCATATTGCTTTACCAGTAAGTATGACTTCTATTCAAAAAACATATTTCATTCTTTCGTGCATTGGATTTGTCGATCATCTCAATGTTTTTTCTCGTGTCTAATCGCACTACAACAGCTGTAATCCACACTTGGGCTCGTTCTTCTGAAAAACACAGGGCGAGGAAAGCCTACCAACTACTCAACGTCATGACACGACGATATCACGACGCAAAAAGGAATTTCGAAAGGAAAAATACAAAAAGAACGAAAAGCATGTATAAAGCTTTAGAGCCGAATGTGAAAACATTCACTTCTGTCCTGAATGCTTGTGCGAGGCCTGCCAGTGACTCCGAAAAAGCAGACGCTTTCGCAATCGCTCAACTGACGATGGCAGAACTATCGGTTGGTACGTACGGAAAGCCGAACTTTTTATCGTTTGCAGCTTATTTGTCAGTATGTGGAACAGCTCTGGAAGTTGGTCCCGAACGCGATGCTGAAGTACAAAGAACTTTCGAAAATTGCGTGAAAGCCGGCGAAGTTGCGCAGATTGTTTTGGAAAAGTTGCATTCAGCTGCCTCTCCAGAACTATTGCACGAATTGATTGGCGCCTACCTTGACGACGGAGGTCATTTTGCACTTCCTAAGCATTGGACAAAATCGATCAAGGGGGAACGCCCAGGAGGCAATACCTTCGTGAAAGCCGAGCTTTATGAGGAAGAAGCCAGTAAGATCTCGAAAGCGTCTCAGCAACGGCTTGAGGATGTTTCAAAATTTGGAGGTACATCTAGTATTTATTCAGAATCGAATATCGATGTGGTAGGAAAGGGGGACGAACTTATTTCGTGGTCGAATGACGAGTTCAGTTGGGGTGCAAATACTGGAAAATAGAATCGAAAAAATGCTCTTTCCACAAATCGATAGAATAAATATTATCAAGGCAAAATGTAGATACTACAGTAGTAATAGAAAATATAAAATATCATTTAGTGAAAGAACCATGAAAGTTCCCCGACACCATAGTACTCTTTCGCTTTGTTGCTATCGTGCATGATGATGAAGTGTGTTTCTAAGGAAATTTGTACGTCCGAAAGATATGAGCATCTGGATTTCGACAGATTTTTTTAACTAAATCATCGTGCGAATTGAAAGAACCTAAAATGACCTCGCACCACCGGTAATCAATATTACTATTTTCAATTTATTGCTACTTGTACGTTCCTTAAAATTCGTCATAGACTGTCTCCATTACTTCAGTCACGTCGTCAAGGAGATTTTCCGTTGCGTTGGTGATATTCTCTGTTGAATTCAAACCAAGTTCCTCAAATCTTCCCTCTTGCAACATTAATTCTTCCCATTGATCCTCGTTTCCAAGTAAGCTGTACATAAGGAAAAATATAACACCCACTGTTCTGCCAAGGCCGAGCGCATCCTTGATTGTTGTACCCTTCAAACTCGCAAACAAGATTTGAGGAGCGAAAATGAATTTCATCAAGCGATCGAATAAAAACGAGCCCGCAACATCAAACATGAGAAGCTTCAACACGAAATCTCGGAAAGATTCTTCGGGGAAAGGAACTAGCTGGAAGTACTTGTTCAGACTTGGAATGCTTTCGGATGCAAACATAAATGTCAAAATGAAAGTGCAGACCAAACTCCATAGCAGCGGACGGTTCTCTGTCAATCCAGTCATGAAAGGCCTTCCTTGAAGATTTACAACAAAAACGGTCACTTGTTGTACATTACTGACAAGGAAAACTACCGTGTTCAAGATTCCAGGCTTGAATGCGCCATCCAAGTCGGCGTCATAGTCTGGAGGTAAATTTTGCTTCGCGTAGTAAACTGCGATCATCATTGTAGCCAGATGGATTGTGAACTGCCCCAAAAGACTGATGAATAGGGCTGGATGAAAGATTGATGTCAAAGGGCGGACGTTAGATAACCTGTCGAGAGGTTTCGAACGTGAAACAGACATGAAAGAAATCGAACCGAGCATTCCCATAGCTGTCATCTGTGTATCACCATACTTCACACCATCGAGATATAGAACTGATAACGAATACGAGCTAATTAGGCATTGAAGGGCCATAATTTGATACTGAGTACAGTAGAAAAGAAAAACAATATTGAACTGTGAGTAAATTTTGATCACGACCAGCGACCCAAAATGGAACGATAAAATAATCAACAACGACAGATAGACAYAAACATACCATCTGAATACTTGAGACAAGAGTGCATCTTCCTTGCCGAACAATATCAACACAACTCTTGATACTCGGCATTTTGCTTGTAAACGGTGCTGCAATACTAGCATCCCCGAGTTTGACCATCGGCAATTCGCCACTATCCAAATCATCGAATTGTTGCGCCATTAAACCAGCAGAGGCTTCGACACCCCCACCTTTCACAATTCCATTTTTTGCTCTTGTAGCTGCTGTTTCTTCTGCAATAATCTCTTTCATAGCCTTGAAAGATGCCCAGGAAACGCCTTGAGCTTCCAACTCGGCAGTTCTTTTCAATAGTTTCTCTTGCCTTTCCCTGGTGACGCGCTGAGACTCTTGTCTCTTTTCGGCTGCAGTCATATTTTTTTTGTCTTTCGCATTTTTCGCTTGGTGTCGTTTCAACGCTCCTTCTCTAACCTTGATCTGATACAATTGGACCAAATCCTCCTTCTCGACGAGTTCAGGATATTTGGCAGGATCTACACCGATTGATCGGATTTTCATCTTCAGGAGTGAAACCGGCAGCGCACGGATCTGATTCAGTTGATCTTGACTCATAATTGCAGTAAATTGGGCTTCGTTTTCTTTTTTCCCAGAGGCTTTGTCTGACTTTTCATCTGTCTTGTCAACATTGATATCCCCAAATCCAGTCAACAGTGCCACACCAACGTCAGCGCCCTTCAATGCACCTACGTCATTGGCACCGTCACCACACATTAGACAGGTAGAACCCACAGAATGTAGACACTCAATCACTGTCTCTTTTGCATCAGGTGTCATTCTCGAAAAAACTTTGAAATAACCCAAAACACTTCTAGTTGTATCGTCGCTCTCGAGCGCAAGTGCCAGGCATTTGCCAGTAGTTGCAAGATGGTTGCTCTTGGAAAGGTTTGGGATCAGAGAGGCATCAAAGTCATCAACTTTTTCTCCAGTTTCATAGTTTTCCCAATAGAGAGATCCCTTTGATTCCTTTAGTAGAAGGATAGGGTGAAATTCTTTTTTCTTCTTACTAACCTCTTTCACAACCCCTCTTTTCTTCTGGATTAATTTCCTGATCTCTTCATTTTGTTCCGTCAAAAGATAGTCCGACTCAGACTTGTGTCCCAATGGCTCGATGATACTAACTTCCTTAGCTACATGAATTGCAGTAAGTAATGCGTCACCCGTAACCATAGCGATACTCATCCCACCTTCTTTTAGCCTTAACAATACCGCTGCGGTATCCTTTCGGACCCTGCATGTAAATGCTATGAATCCAGCAAACCGCATATCCTTCTCACAACTTGCACGAGAATCCTGCGCTGCGGCAATTTCGTCGTTCGATCCGAGTGGCTTTAGTGCCAAGGCAATCATTCTGTACCCTTCTTTTGATAGATAAGCCGCTTTCTCGTCATACCCCTGGGGTTTGACAGCGAGTAATCGACCGACAGCCTCTGGGGATCCCTTCAAGACGGAGTAGTGTTTTCCACTTGTTAATGATTTGATGACACAGCTCATTCTTTGCAACTTCGAACTAAAGTGATGTCTCGTCAAGACTTCGATTTCAGTGATATTCTTTTCGGAAAAAACGTTAATCGGCATACCTTCGGGCCTCTTCTCAGTTGCAGCAGAGGGCACCGCATTTCCGTTTTCTTTCGAAAGTTCCCATCTCATTGACTTCAAGGGAGCACTTTCCAAAGGATCTCCAGTGGTTTCACCTTCAATATGAACAAGTGAGTGGCACCCGGCCAACACTAATGCGGCTTCGTCATGGATCTGAATCATAGGAGTCAAAAATTTCRAGTCTTCGTCTTCTTTTCCTGTTGGCACACGTAATTTCAACGGCTGACAGACACCAACAGCAACTAATTCATCAGTTGTTAGTGTTCCTGTCTTATCGAAAAGACATGCGTCTAACTTTCCGGCAATAGGAACTCGGTAAGGTTCCGTGCAAAAGATATGAAGTTTCATCAACGTCATCAAGCTATTGTTGACAGCAAGTGCCATTTGCATTGGGAGCTCAGGAGGAATGACACTAGTGACAATCATGATACAGTGCAGCAATAATTCGAATTTACTTCGTTTGTCGCTTTGAAGACCATGGTACAGTACGTAACCAGAACTTGTGATTGCAAAGAAAAAGAGCAACAGTAGCAGTAAACCGGTTTCCTTTTCGTGCCCCTTCACCTTTTCTTGTGACCCTTCGATCATTCGAACAAGTTTTCCTTGCTGTGAAGAAAATCCTGTTCGAAGAACAAAACACACACAGCCATTGTCGGGTGGGTTTGGAATGCTTGGTGTAAAAGACTTCGTCTCCCCAACCTGGGAATCGATTTCAGCAGCCCCCTTACATTGCAACATCTTTGTTCCGGCATAGGCCACATTCATTTTATTTCTTCCTTTCATATTCAAATGTTCGCCATCTTCCATTTCGGAGAGCCCTTCTTTCATCTGTGGTACAGACTCTCCAGTGAGACTGGCTTCATTAACGACTGTAGACCCTCGGAGCAGCAATAAATCAGCAGGAATCAAATCTCCTCCCTCATCTTCCACCTTCTTCGATACAATTTTTTTCTTTTTGCCGTCGTTTGCTGTAGCAAAGTGGGGTTTGACTCGAGTTAGACTCATGATATCGCCAGGTAAAAGTTCTGTCGTTTCGACGCTAACCCAATTGTTCAAGCGGTACACTAAAACGGGACGGGGCTGGTTGCCCATTCCACGAAGCGCAGACAAACTCTTAATGCGAGAAAATACGACAGTGGCTTCAAACGTCAGTACCATAAAAAGAGTGAAGAAACTAGCAGTGGGAGGAAAGGCAAGGTAAGTGAGGCGTTTGATGTTGGGTTTTGAATTTATGCCACGTCTCGTCTCTAGTCAAACCTACCTGTACTGCCAGTATTCATCCAACATCCATAAAATGACGCAGAAGATCTAAGAACATGACAGCAAAAGCAAATAGTGAGAACCAATGACGTTGATATTTTATCATTAAATAATCGCAGGATATCAATTCGATAACACTTACCTGGAAGACTGTAAAGGGCGACAGCAGCTGCGCCTTGTAAAGGTCGATAAACGTGGGTTGTTTCACACTAAAGGCGTTGGGACCATACCGGATCTGACCCGACACAAGATGCATTTCCGAATCAAATCCTGTCCATGTCTCCAAGAACTCTTTTCCAAAGGTTGTACCGCACCGGATTTTCGACCATTCTGAAGTATCGGGATCATAGACATAACGCCGCCGATGGTATTCAAATGTCATACCGAGTGTGGGATGGTATTCCAACGGAACCAAAACATGCCGGCCCTTCGCCGGAACGATTCTGGCATGAGTGGGCAGGTTGGATGGTATATTGGTAATGGCTCGATCCATCATGACCTCAGACTTCTTTGCTTTCTTCTTCCAAGCAGCAAGTTTTATCTCGTCTTCTTCGAGATCCAGCTCCATCATCTCTTCTGGCAATTCAGAGGCATCCGCATCTATTTCTCTGTAATTGATCCATACCAAAAATGCCACGGACCAATACTGCATAAGCAACACCAAGGCATGCAAGATAGCAATGATTCCAAGGATCAAAGTCGGGGTAAACTCAGTGGCATATCTCGACGGAACTCTCATGTTTTTGGGTAGAGAATCCAGGACTGATTTTTCCTTGTCCTTTTTCTTTTCGGCGGCAAGCTCTTCGATGTCCATGTCCATCCAGTCAAACATGCCTATTTTCTTGGTTCGGCGATTTGGGTCATTAATGTCCGCAAATGCGTGTTCTAACTCGGCGCGCAGCTTCGTTGATCCTTCCATAACCTCAAAGCCTTCGCGATCGGCCTTTTCGAGAAACTTTCTGTAGGGTTCACCAATCGTGGACGTCACCCACATAATTTGGTAGACATAAAGGGCAAGAAAAACAACATTATAGAGCCGAATGCGATGGCGACGACTCCCAGTGCTAAACTTAGGTTGGTACGTGGCGACGCGAACGATGCGTTTGGAATCTGTTTCCTTGGGAAATAGCATCGTATCAGCTTGAACTTTGACGTCGTCTTCGAACAAGAGGAAGATAAGAGAGTAGCTCCAACGATCGAGTTCACAGCTATTTTCGCTTTCTGTCACCACAGAGTTAACGTGTACTTGGAAAACTTTGGAGGAAAGCTATGGAACCCTACTGATAATCRACGTCCCTTTTGGAGTAATGTCCCAGACGATTGATTGTTTTTTAAAAACGGAGACACGACATTCAAACTTTAAAACTAGTGTCGTACGGTACGGTGTGGAGGGAAGTCCATGTCATCGTTTCGTCGCCTCAAATTATTTTTCATTTTTCTTCCTTTCTTTTCTTGGCTTTTGTCGCGAAGTTTGAAGGGTTTATTCGAGTGAGTCCGGGATGGTCGAACTAGTCAGTCCTGTGTACGGTTGTGAATTGCCTACGGTGCACTACACTGCACTTCACTAACTTTAGTGCATGGTAGCCAGTAACTTTGAAGAATTCTTACAGCCCTGGACGGTTCTGTCTGTAAGGTGTAGGGATCCTACAAGGTTCTACACAAAAGAATCAGACACAACCTGCACTCAGCAAGCAAATCCACCTCAAAATGACCATGGGAATGACAATATGTCCACAACCAAAGCATTCTAAGACAAAGCAAGGGAACCCTTGCAAAGTGCTCACGTAATGTCACTGAATATTGTTCTAATGGTGGAAGCAAGATGAACTCTTATTTTAACTCTGAGCTACTAGTACTACTAGAAGTAGTAGTAGTASTACTACTAGAAGTATCACTACAAGTAGAAACAAATAGTACCAGGAGGGCAAAAACATAAGAAAGAAATTTTTGGATTCAGCAAACACATCCAAGTGGTTGCTTACTATAATGAGCAGTGTCTACTAATTAGTGGGTCTACATATTGGTGTTGTTGCCAGTGGGGACAATTTGACTGGTTGCAAATTAATTTGCAAGAAAATGGAACAATAACGACAACAACAATGAAGATACAACAACAAGCCTTGTAACAATAATTTTTGTCCAACTGAAATCTAAACAGCTCTATATATTGAGTTTGTCAATTGATAGAACAAACAATGTTTGTGAGACCAATAGAATTGCTCCCAAATTGCCTCTAGTAATGTCTTTGTTCCCTATGGGGATATGCTTGGTGGTCATAGTATTGGGGAAGTCTTCATGTTCCAAACAATAGGTCCACAGTGGCTGACATGCTCATCTGACAGTCAGTATGGCCAAATTTTGCTATTTCTGAGATGGGCTGTGTGCTACAAAATAGGCCATCAAGTGACTCAAAAACAACTCTAGACCACAGGACTAGCAGTACTAGTACTAAATGCCCAGTSCTTATTGATACTACTATAATTACTGCTGCTTAGTAGATCATCATGTCAGTGTCAATGGGAATCAATAGTAGGATGCTATGGCAAAATAGAACTGCTAGCTCACCAAAGTTACAGTAGCTGGTGGACTACACAAATTTTGGTGTAAGAAACAGGGCACAACAGAACCTACTTGGTCATATTTGAACAATTCACAATTCAAGTACAGCCACCAGGCACATGCATACATCCATACATACTCATACTTCATACCCGGAGGAGTCACAATTTAAAGGGGACCACAACATCTGAGTTTTGTGCAGGGTTCTGCAGCCTGATGAAAAAAACTTGTATTCCATCTGTGATAGAAGCACTTAACAATGAGAAAAATTTCCCACAAAAGATTCTTTCATCTCATTTTTACTGCATAACACAACTGCAAAAAGTGTACCCCCTGAAAGACCCCATGCACACCAGGAACACTTCCAATCACTCTCTGATTTTCAAACTTCATATGCACATCTCTCATACAGTTGAGAGTCAAGTAGGAAGTGTTTCTTGGATGGTATTGCTGTCTCCTGGTTGAAAATTGATGCACTGGTGGTGACATCAGGCTTGTATTACCACCACACTAGTAATGGAATTTTAGTAGTACAAATAGTCTGTCCTTCATCCAATTTTGTGAAACCTCCAGTCCAGTCCCTAGCAAAAATTTGAATTCTCTGTCCTTCATCTGTTTTGCCTAATACATCCCCAGTAGTAGTACTAGTTCTACAGTAGGGATCCTACTAGTTGTAGTTGCAGTAGTAGTAGTAGTAGTAGTAGTAGTAGTAGTAGTAGTAGTAGTAGTAGTAGTAGTAGTAGTAGTAGTAGTAGTAGTAGTAGTCATAGGCGTCATAGTAGTAGTAGTAGAAATGGTCATTAATTTGCAATAAAATGATGGTAGAACAACTCATTTGTTATCAAAGAAAATAGTATGTTCAGAGTCCTCCCAAAAAATTATTATTAGTACTACTACACTACTATTTTTGATAAAGTTATGTTGTGCTCCCCTTTAAATTATGACCCCTGCAGCTCCATACTATGGTACAACTCAAGAGAGTATCCAAATATTTCACTGGTTATGAGCAACACTACTACTAGTAATTTTAGCAGTAGTACTAGACCTACCTACTAAGGTAACTCGTTACTAGTACCTCCTCCCTATTATCAGAACAAAGTCAATGAGTAGTAGGATATTTCAATACATATTTTGATGACAGAGCAAGGAACAGCATCCTAGGAACAACGTTCCAAGAAATTGCCCTCTTCTTCCTACTAAGCAGAAATCATCCCCTGAAAACAATTGGTGGTGGTGGTGGTGGTGGTATTACTGCTGCCAGGACAAGTACTGCTACCAATAGCTACTACTAGTAGGAAGAAAGTGATGAGATCAAATCTTTTGGTTGTTATCAATTAGTACAACAAGAACAAAGTCTAGTATTTTTGTTGTAGATATATTTTAATACTGTATGATGATACCACACAAAGCCACCATGCAGTGCTGCAACAATGTACAATACCAAGAGCACTCTTATCATGTACCATGTTGCTGTGAACAGGTGATTCCTGTTAATCGAAATGCTAAATTTCATAGACAGATAGACAAAAAATCTATCACATGTTATCATGGATTCCGCATTTTTAGGATGGGTTGTTGGACCCCATCCAAAATGTGCTAAATCTATGATGGAACCCAAGAATAAAAATTTTGAGTCTGTTGTAAGATTCAACAGAAAGCACGCCAGAATATTTGACAAAATTACGACTCTACCAAGAGCAAGCAAGAGAGGAGGTGTATCTATGAAGAATGGTGCCCAGGCACCTCTAACAACTATGGTGTCACATAAACTATGTCCTGATCTGTGCTCTTAGTCAGTACAATCTATTTCCTTTCTTTGTTGCAGCAAAGAGAGCAACAATACAAGGAGGAGGGGGCCGGCAACCTCAAAGAGGGAGCTCATTGTTGCTGAACCGGCCTCAAACAACAAGGAGAGGAGGCCCATTGTCCCACCCCCCACACTGTATTTGTTAAAATGGATCCAACTGGCAATATTGGCTGCAGGACCAGTACCATAAACTAATTATTTGATGAGCTCACCAGTCTCATGAGCTTGATATTGGACATGCTGCCTATAGATGCTGAGGGCTGGGATGTGCTTGTGGTAAAGCATGCACAGAGATGACCTATGTAGGACCAAGGCATCCATCAAGACTAAGTATGCAGCTGTTGAAAGGATTAAGAGCTAAACTGTGAACCCAAACATGCCAAGAGTAGGCGAAGATGACACAAAGGGCTGTTATCTTGATTGGTGAGAAGGCAAATCTTAGTAATGGAGAGGAGCCCCTTGATATGAAGAAAGGCTTCATTTAGAGTGAGGCTGTGGAGGGTTTGGAGCCTGGAGTATTGACTGTTTGTGATGGAGCTTCTACAGGGGCTTCAWTTTTTTGTGCTGGAGAAGCCTCTAGGAGTTTGCTGCAGCTTCCTCTGGCATGTTGACACCTTCTCTTGTAGAATCCACCCCTACCCCAAGGAAGAGGTCTTATCAACAGAAGAAACCCATTGTCCCAGATGCCATTGTATTCAATGAATACATTAAGAGCCAGTAGCAAAGARAGGAAAGAAGAGACAAAGAGAATTGTGAGATGTACAAAGAGAATTGTGAGATGTACAAAGTTCTCAGAACTGCTGTTACCATGTTCAATAAGTGGCAACAACAACAACAACAACAACAACAACAACAATATTACCATTGTCCTCCCCCCTACCATCACTGTGGTCCTCCATCAACTGCTCCTCTTGCTGCAGTGTCAACAACTACTTCTGCATTGCCGTGTTGACAACTTCCATGTCAACCACTGCTTCCAGTCCCCAGTGGAAACGCCAATGCACCAAGGAGAAAGAATCCCATGGTGAAAAGCACCATGCACAAGAGGATGTTAAAATCATTGTTAAACTAAACTAAGCTAAACTAAACTAAACTGTACCTGTGGTAATTCAAAACAATGAGCTTGAGCTTGCAGTCCACTGTGTTACTGTGTTATCACATACTGTTCTAGTACAGACTGTACTGTTTCTTGCTCTGGTTTTCTTGTGCAGGATTAGAAACTATTTGGCATGTGCAAAGTCCCACAAAAAGGTTTGGATCAGCATGCACATGCTGAGAATCATAAACTTGTCTTCATAGTACAGTATAACGCTGAACTTAAATTCATTACAGTATAATCTGTTATCTACATGATCATTTTAAACAGCTTGTTTGCAGCTCAGCTTGGAGCAAGATCAACCCCCCCCCCTGCTTCTCATGAGTACTGTTTGCAAACAAAACAGAGTACTGTTGAGTAAAACAAGGCTAAGGAAAGTAACCATTCTGTCTCTCTCCACCATGATCAGTCCTTGTATTGATTGCTGGATTGATTGTACTATTGAATCCAAATTGTATCAATTGTATTGAATCCGAATTGTATCAATCTTGCACAACGTTGGTGTAATTGATGATTCTAACTGGTGCATACTGCAACAAAACTTCCTTCTCTGGTAAATTTCCTTCTTTGAAGACAACCAGAGAAACAAATTGACCATGGGATTCACCCTTGGAATACCTCATTTCCATCAGGGGTGAGCCCACTTCCTACATAGAAGTAGCCTCCTGCAAGGTCATTCCTTTACTCTTCATGAGGTACCTCTAGATTGGTTGCTGGTGGTGTCTTCATGAAGGTTGATAGGATCTAGTTGTGTCCAACAATGGTACTGCACAGGAAGTTGTACAAGTTGATGAGAAGGTTCATGGAGATTCTTCTTTCTCCCTGCTCCTCCAAGCACATCCAGTCTTTGATTCTTGGGAACTGTCCCTGGATCATTCTCATCCCCCATTCAGCCATCTGTCTCAATGACAGTGCATCCCTGGTAAGGAGTATCAAGTCTGATTGTTCCGGGTCACTCTATGAGCTCTTGATGAGGCTATCCTTGTAATCTTTCAGAGAAAATGCTGAATCCACCACAACCTTTGCACCACTACACTCTTTTTTGACATTCACAATTCTTTGGTACACACCATGCTCAGCAATAGCACTGTCATGCCAAGCCCCGGGGCAGTTGCACACTGCAATCCTTATTCTACCATCTGGGGCAAAGGCAAACACACTGTAGGTATTCTCCTTCCAGACRTTGTAGAATGGTCTTTGTTTGTACCAGTTGCCAGAGGCTTCAATTATTTGCTTCAGTCCATCAGCAGCACCCCAAACACATTGTTCTCCAAGTCTTGGATACTTGTCTCCAATAGCCTTAACATAATCATCCACTTCTTGCTCAGTTGGGACACTGACCATGGCATCCGGGTGTTTATGAAGAGCAATGAGAATCACTCTCCTTGAAAACTTGAGCCACTTGTACATTACTGTGGATGTCAAGCCAAAGGCCATGACCATTGACATTGCAACTGATCCTCTTGTCCTGAACCAATAAAGGACCAGTCCAATAGCACAGACTGCATTGACCTCTCTCTTCTTCTTCCCCTTGGGCTTTCCACTAGGGTAAAAGGATACTTCCACAATTTCATTGTCATTGTTGACAGAGAACTTGTTGTACTATACTGTAGCAAACAGGTCAACAAGCTCTCTGTAGACTTTGTGGTCTACACCACAGCAGTTGAGGAGTGCTTGATCAAGTCCTGAGTGGAACATATGTAGGAAGGGTGRTTGAGCATACCTCCTGATTGTAAGCCATGGAGTTCTTTTGTCCCTTCTTCTCCTCTCTTCTGGGGATAGTTTGCTTCTATAACTTTGCTTGTCTGTGTTCAACTGGATGTACTAGTACATTGTGATGACCTCCACAACTCCTATTGTCAATGTTGCCTTTTTTCTTGCTGGGAGGGAAGTCTGGTCTTTTAGAGTGATTAGCTAATGTGAGGAACATACATATTTTTTWTACAAAATTATGAGAGTATCAAAAATGTGTGCGTTCCTTCTACTACTAGTAGATCCAATATTTTGTGTTTTCCTTTGTACCAAATGGCGCGTATTTTAAGTCTTTTTAGTCTTTATGTTGGAGTATAGTTAAGATTCCAAATTCCCAAAAAGACTGAAATGGAGGCGGCCTTCCTTGCTGTCTGTCTGTTGAAATTTTGAATTTGTTATTATAGAATTGCTAAACTCATAGATTTAGAACATTTAGCAATCTATAATAACGGGAATCACCCAATATTGTTGTGTGATCACCCGTGCAGCGCCTTGCAGTTAAGTCTGATTTGTTGCTGCATACATGTAAGCGAATCCATAGGATGCTGTTGATCCCAATGATGTACTAAGAACGAATATTATTTGTTTTGTAATGAAGAATACTATATATGAATGAGTTGTCCTGTGCCTCGTAGCTGAGGTATCACCCCTAGGTGTTTACTGAAGCATTTGTCGCGACTGTGCGGATTGGAACACCTCCGAGAGGCTTTCGCATCAAGCTTGATGGGTTCCAACGAATTGCTTTAGTTTTATCAGATCCTTCGCCCAACAGCTCAAAACTATCTATTCTGCGGGCCAACAATGACAAGAAGATCCTCATCTCTGCCATAGCCAATGGCGCACCTAGGCATCTTCGGTTGCCGGCACCAAACGGGAAGAAATCTTCTGTCGGTTTTGTTTCAGTATCGAGCCAACGCTCTGGAGCAAAACTATGAAGCGGATCCAGAGATTCACTTGACGTTATCTTTGGATCCAGCTCATGAGTAAGCCGAATATTAGCAAAGACAGCCCCTCCTTTGGGCACCTGTTTCCCGTCTAAAACCATCGCTTCCTTTGCAATCCTGAGATTTCCACCTGATACAGGTGATATTCGCATCGTTTCGTGAATAACTGCATCCAGATAAGTACAATTCGCCAAAACCTCCCCCGTAATCGTCGCACCATTAGTAGACACGAGTTCTCGTTGCTCTTGGACTATTTTCTCGAATATMCTAGGATGCAAACCAAGCAGAAACATGGCGGATGTTAAAGTTGCGGCTGTGGTCTCGGTTCCCGCGACAAGTAGAATTAACGAGTTTTCTACTATTTCCTCGCGAGTAAGTTTCTTATTCGAGTCTTCATCGGAAGCGAAAACCATTGCGCTTAGAGTAGATCCATCGGGTCCATTTTCCTCCAGGTAAGCTACTCGCTCTATGATTTTAGAAACTAGGTACCTTCGGGCTTTGAATGTAGGTAATAGATGTTTTCCTGGAAAATTCAAATATAACTCGACACCAAATAATCCACTCGTATAGATGTCGACAGCCTTGCGAAAGCGCTGTATCTCGTCGCCGTCTTTCAGATCAAGACCAAGTATTGTTCTCCAAGCAATATCTAGCGTAAAATCTTCGCAGATGTCTTCCATCTCGATGATTTCTCCGTCTTTCAATTTATGTAATTGATCCATGACGGCTTTCTCAATTTTTTGCGTTCCGTCATTAATCGCGGATGGAGTAAATGCAGCACCCATCAAACGTCGAAGAAATACATGCTTCTTCCGGTCGTTTTCAAACATCACGCTTTTTGAAGAAAACAATTCCTCTTTTTCCACCTTCGTATCGGTCTTTTTCGAAGAAAAATCAAGTGACATGGTATCGAAATTCTTACTTTTGAACACAGTATTGACATTCTTGGATCCCGAGACCGAAGTGACGGGAGCCCCCAAAAAGTAAAATCGCCAGATAGAGGGATGGTCCAACTTGGCAGATGCTTCACTGTAAAATTTTTCAGGGCCATTGTTTTTCGATCCTGCCAAAATATTGTTGCCAAAAAAAGGGCAGCCTAGTGAGGCGATTTCTGGTAAAGGAGCTCCGAGGTTCGGGTCGAAATTCTTGTTTAGACCTGGCCAAAGTAAGCGACGAAATAGGTTCTTGAAGAATTTGATGAACGAGAAGATTTTACTCTTTATTTTTGAGCCAGAATCTTCTTTTCTTGAACAGTTTCTTGAACTAGTGAGTGGAATGGTCGAGCCACGAAGTCTTCCGTTTGGTGGTTGCCTGTTCCTATTAGGACTCATTAATGGGGTCTTGGTGGATGTTGGTCCCAATCCCTTCATTGCGAGGTGAGAGACTCTGGGTGAACATATCCAAGCCCTACTCTCTTGAAACAAACCAAGAAGACAAAAGACAACAAGATACGGGTTCGTTCTCTTCATGGTCGCGAGGGATAGAAATGTGTCGGTTTTTTATTGTCCTTATGATGCGTACCAACTGCTCTGATTAGTTGTACTTTTGCAAAAGGCTCACGGGCCTTTCGTGATGTATTTATGAAGTGTCCTCTTCGCTCTTTTGCGGATCGTTTACGGCACACGACTTCCTCTAGGCTTGATACTTGTTGTATTGTACTGTGCCATACCATATGATACAACAGAGACTTTCAACTTCGCTTCCGTCTCCTGTTTCCGGGCCGAACTTTTCGTACATTTCAACCGTACAGTACTGTACGTACGTAGAGGACTGCTACTGCTGTAAGTTCTTTTTGAACAGGGATGGGTAAAACTCATATTACTTCGTAGTACGGTACTCGTACCGTAGCGCAGCACGGCAGATCCGAAAAAGATACCATTTGGTCATTCCCGATAATACCGTGGGGGTAGGAAAATCATGTACAATCGAACGTACGTGTAAATTGTGTTGATTCCTACTGCCATCTACCAGCATGCCGGTAGAGCAAAAAATCCGGGAAGTCGGTTGAGCAGAATTACTTTCATCATCAAGCATAAGGCAATTCCGATAATAACAAACAGACATATGATGCAGGTAATTCTTGACAATAACAGAAACATATGACAGTTTTCTATGATCTAAGGGGGGGGGGCAAGAAGTAGTTACTAGCAGCTACCAGCCACAGCAGCAACAACAACCCATATCAGCGGACGCTGTATCGTCAGAACAAGCTCGTCCTCCTCCTCCATATCAGTATCCTCCATGTCAGTGACTCGTATCAGCATYATCCATATCAGCAAGCATCTTTATTAGCATCCTCTGTATCAGCATCCTCTGTATCAGCGGCCATATCAGCATCCTCTGTATCAGCATCATCCACACAACAAGAAGCATCCTCTGGTGTATCATCATATAGAATGGGCCAAGCAAAAAAGACAGGCGCGTCGTGACTAAAGACGACGGAGATACCATCAGGGATGGATGGGTTGCACATATCATTGCTTTCAAAGCTTCGTAGCCGTGTCCATCGTAGAGTTCGACAATTTGTCGAAATTTATTATGGGAAGTACAAGCTATGTGGAGGACATCCCAGATGATTCGAGAGTCGATAGATATTAAGGTTTCGAAGGTCGGATGGAGATCATCGTCGGCTTCTTTACCAATGGTGAAACCTCDGGGGTGGTTGCAGTCTGAACGAAAGCATGGATATGGGTGGCAGTATTTACCATAGCGAGCGCAATGGGTCGTGAAAGCCGTGTACCAATTATAGAGTTCGTAGGACGTTTCGCCTGTTATTTTATTGACATTGTTGCGAAAGTTCTTTTCGCTTTGTGGTCCGAGATCTGCGAGGACGAAGTACGAACCATCTCTGGTGACAAAACCGGATGCTGAGTTGTGTTTGTCGCGAGCGTAGTTTCGGAAGTCATGGGGAAGATTCGAAATGTCGAGGAGTTTGTTAAGTGTGTCGCTGGTATGGAACATGTATGGGACCTTGTTGAAGTCGTATCGAG